TTTTTTTCCAGACGCGTGCAGAAAAAGCCTTACCAAAACAAAGTTACTGGGTTAATCTTTTTGACAAAAAAAAAATGCCTTGACAAAAGGGCACTTTGGGCATCAAGGGGAAAACGGGCAGGTGCTAAAGTGTGCTGAACCGATGAATGCCGCCATGATGGATTCTAACTTCTGTTTGTATGCTGTCGTGTTCCGATCTCCATAGAAACTCATTTGAAAATTTCTCAAAATATTTCGACTTTATTCTTGTATTGCTACAACTTTATTATCATAGTTTTTACTTTAATCTCGGATTAAAAAAATTTTTTTTTACGTGGCACTAAAATGCCTTTGTACAAATGATCAATGGACAAACTGAGAGAATACATTCTTATATAAAAAATATTATGGTGTTAATGTTTGAGATTTAATCTTTTCTAAATTTTTTCAGTCCCTTTCTCCTGACAAACTGCAGTGCCAACAACGACGTCCAACCCATTGCAAAATGAAGTGAAGCGTTGGGAAACACTCAATAAGGCTAAATTCTACACAGCATTTACTACACACGGCACAGCACGGCAAAGACTCTCTTGTAATGTTTTTGCAGACATGCGTGTTAAAATTAACACTTGAAATAGTGTACTGCCTTTAGTATCACAATACTACCATTGTACCGGTATACCATGCAACCCTAACTACCAATGGCTCACAACAGAGCACCTGCACCATCATTCCACATTTTTTTTTCTTTTTCTCATCATTAAGTGATTCATCTTAGCCCATGAACAGCCAATAGCAAAACAGCTCAATATAATCTGTGGTTCTCACTGTTGCCTCCAGCAGCTTTTGGACTGGATGCTCTAGTTCATACGTGGCTGAGGACATGCTTGTATTACTTTTCCACAAGTCAAACTGATTCCATCAGTCCTGGCTAGAGTATGGGAAGGCTAAATTTGTCATCTGTTAGTGGCACCACGATGGCCATCCTGAGTTTGGTTCTCGGATCTTGTATCCCTTTTGGAGGAACCTCCTTGGGAGATTCCAGTTAGAGACAATCTCTTGTCTCAGGTTCGGGGCACAATATGAAATCCTTAACCAAGCATGTGGAAACTTTTGGTATGGTGAACGGGGCTCTTTATACCTGTGGTGGAAGAGTCCATTTTTAATATGAAGATTTCCTTTGAAGTGTAGAATATTTGCAACCTGGTACAGGGAACAGTATTTGGACCTAGTTCACTGCCCAGTCTGTTCAGCGATGAAGTTTTTATGAGAGTGTTTTTCTGGAGGCACAGCCCTCTGCACACTTAAAGTGTTTGTGACATCATTTTATGTTAAGCACATAGAGGTTGGAGGTGTTTCTTTGAGACAACATTCACTTGTCTTCCATTTTATGCATGGGAAGAGGCAGCTTGAGGCGTTTTCATCCTATTTTCATTTTTTTCTAGGGTTTTTTGTAGCACGTCACAGTTTGATAGGGTTCCCATCACATCAGCTACCATTGCAGCATCAAGTGAACCTATATCCCTGAATAGGGAACGAGACTCTCCCTTATGAGGCACAGTTACTGACGCAGTATCTCATTTCCTATTCAGGGAACCAAGAATACATAAGAGACATTTTGTTGGGTTCTACAATGTGGTCTGAGATCATAAAATTCCTGAGAAATACCTTAACTACCTTAACAAAAAAAATCAAGCTCTATTCAGATGATCTCTTCAGATTAACTTAATTATAATAACTTACTAATGCTTTCAGTTACACACAGAAATACTGAAGAAAATACCCATTCTGAAGAAACTAAGAACATTGGAGCAGGAAGCTGGGAAAGATGTTGCTTTAAAGACAACACCTGCTGAAGAGGATCCAACAAAGAAATCCAAAGAGCTTAAATGGCAGCCTAATTGTCATCCTAAAGCTTAGCAATAATGTGAATATTTAGCTTCTGAAGATAACAGGTGTGCTGGATTTGAGTGCAAATTTCCTAAAACTTCTGTCACCACTATATCCCTGAGTAACATTCCAGCTGGGTTACGCGTGAGTGAGTTGAAGAGCTTGCTCAGAGAACAGGAAGCTGTTCCTCTGAGAATCAGCTGGAAGGGGACAAAGCACAGAGCATTCTGCTGTACTCTGATGACACTGGTGCAGAGCAAGCTCTCACCACTTTTCAAAAGCTCTCCATTAATGACCACACCCTATATGCTGAATGTGTCAACAGTCAGGGGCCAAAGACTCTGAGAGGATACCAAACAGTCTGGTAAAAGACTCCATGCTCCTATAGAGGATAATGTATTTAATCCAGCATTCTGATCTGTACACCTTTCTAAACAAGAATTAAAATTTCTAAATAATTTTTTGTTATCTATTACTGTCTTGTATGCTTGCAATGGGTTAACTCTCACGTAAGAAATATAAGAATCTTTTTAAAAACATGTCATGAAAATCTGAGTTCTGCTGAGGCCTGAGGATAATAAAGTGTTTTAAAGGGGTCCTATTATGCTCTTTTACAAAGTCTTGATTTTGTTTTGGGGGTGTACTAGAACATGCTCTCATGCTTGGTGGTTCGAAAAACACATTCTTTTTCACATAATTTACATTATTAAAATACTTTTCTCCCCATCATGGAGGAATATCCGGTAATGTCCACTTCGCAGGGCACTTACAGTCAAATATAACAAACGTATGAAGCAATAAGAGAAACATACAAAATGTGCAGAGTGGGGGTACGCGAGGACTGGAATTGAGAATCGCTGTTCTAGACATGCCAAAAATTTTACTCTACAGCACAGCAGCTCTTCTTCTTCGTTTTCTCTGATGCACTAACTCTGCAGCAGCACTTCTTCTTCATCGTCTCGTCTGATGCGCTCACTCAACCAAGGGTTCTAACCACAATCTCGCCCCTCCCCACCCCCCAACCATTCGAATTTCTGTAGGCGGGAATTATTTGTAATGATATTCCAATGAGCCGCTTTGTGATATCACAAAGCCCGGAAACCAAACGCTGTAGTCCAAACGAGCCGTTCGTTGTAGTTCTTGAAAAGGGATTTTTTAAAAACTAAATATCTCCCTTTGGAGTGGACTTTGAGATTTGTAACTTTCTAGATCTTTTTAATGCCCAAACATACACACTACACACTGACTAAAATTTAAAAAGTGAAAAAGCATAATAGGACCCCTTTAAAGTGTCTATTCTTATGTATTTCTTGTTCAGATAAACTTTATAAATGGGAATATTTTATGATACCAGCTCTTCTTTAGAGGAATGTCTGAGTGTATACTTAATTGTGTTGATAGAGTTCATAATAACAGGACAAACCATTTTCGTTTCTTTTTCATTTTCTAATTATTATTATTATTATTATTATCTGCCAATATCAATCTCATGATAAATTTATATCAGGTTGCATTAGCTAGACTTTGTTTTTTTCATAAATGTCACTTAAAATGCTGCCGCATGTTTTTTTGTGCTGTAATAATTTGTATAAACTTATTTCATAATTTTAAGAATCCATTAAATAATCAGAGCCGCGGTTTCCAATAACGACGGAGCTCATATTATTTTTTATAAAATATCTAATAATAATCAACCTAATTTTCTACTTAAATATAACCTGCATTACGGGGGGTCATGCAGAGGTGTTTTATAAAATGTTCGGTATAAATAAATATAGTTTTTAATAATACTCTAAGATTTCAAACACCAATAACGACGCCCCGAAACATCGCTAGAATTTTTTAAATAAAAAATTAATCCGTTTTTCTACCAAAAAAAAAAATAATAAAAAAATAACATGCACTGATATATAGGCTTATATATATAATATATGTGTAGCGGACTTAGTCTCTCGCCACAAAGAACCCCACGACACCACTGGCTTCGGTGGACTACATCTGCAGTTTATTAAAGACAGGACAGGGATTAACACCAGGCAAACACACTCTCAGTTCTTTGGTCTGTCTCGCTCAAGTCCAAAGTTGTTCTGACCATATTTAACAATAAACTCTTTCAACATACAGTGTCTTGTTTCACTTGTTTTCTTTCAACATATGTATCAGACATCACATACAACACAACCTTAGACACAAATTCAATAATGTAAATATATCCTCAATATAACAGAATGTTCAATATATATATACACATTTCTACACACACATATAGTTTCATACTTTGAAAATACAGAAAATGATTTCAATCTAACATTACAATGAAATATGATCGTATAGTGGTAATTGTTTTGTTGCAATTACATGCCTGCAGTTTATTAAAGACAGGACAGGGATTAACACCAGGCAAACACACTCTCAGTTCTTTGGTCTGTCTCGCTCAAGTCCAAAGCTGTTCTGACCATATTTAACAATAAACTCTTTCAACATACAGTGTCTTGTTTCACTTGTTTTCTTTCAACATATGTATCAGACATCACATACAACACAACCTTAGACACAAATTCAATAATGTAAATATATCCTCAATATAATAGAATGTTCAATATATATATACATTTCTACACACACATATAGTTTCATACTTTGTAATGTTAGATTGAAATAATTTTCTGTATTTTCAATGAAATATGATCGTATAGTGGTAATTGAGAAAGGCGGGGCATAGAGGAGAAACAATAATGTACAGTATGTGGAAAATAATGTGTTTTTTTAACCTTAAACCGCATAAACACATTTCATTACACCAGATACACAAAATACTGTTCTTTTTAGCAGCATCATATGACCCCTGTAAGAACCAAAGTTAGCATAAAAATATTAAAAATGGCGCGGGCGGTAACTTGAACCAAATGATTAACAGCTCATTAACACGAAACTCACAATATACTGAAAAATAACGCCAAACGAACACACTATTTGACTCAATCCAGCATCAAAACATGTCTCCCACTGATATCAACCAAAATTTTAACTCAATTTTAATACCATGGAGCACATTTGCGACGTACCTGTCTCGCTCAAGTCCAAAGCTGTTCTGACGAAAGCAGGACGCGACTGGGCAATTCAATCAGAGGAAGTGACATCACACAACATACAACTCAATACATTATTTTAAAACAAAAATACATAGCTTCCATATACTCTTATAAGGTTATTAATAGTGTTATTTATAGAGAGACATGAAAATAAAAATAAAATAAATATAATTTATTTCTTGGAAAAATTTAAGTTTGCTGGAACGGTCAAACTCAAAACACTACACTCTCCCCTCCTACATTTCAGCAAACTTTAAGACTGTAGGTGAGGCTTTTTCCTCTAACAAGGGGTAGGTACCATGACTCAAGTCATTCAAAAGAATAGCAAAGACTCTGTAGAGACTGGCAAATATTCATCATCTTGTGCACCAGTTTTGTATGGGGTTCCACAGGGCTCAATTTTGGGTCCTGTTCTATTTTCTTTATACATGCTTCCTTTGTATGCTATATTTAAGAGGCACAATGTTTCATACCACTGTTACGCAGATGATACTCAGTGTTATGTTCCCTTGCACCCAAAGGATGTCTCCAGTTTACAGTGTCTGTTTGATTGTCTGAGAGATGTTAAAGAGTGGATGTCTGCCAACTTCCTTCAGTGTTGGAGCTGTCCCAAGATTGTCCACCCCTGTGCTGTGAACTTGTGTGTCTTCAATAAATCGTTTCACTCACTCTGCATTTGGGTCCCTTCCTGTTGACCTTGACAGGCATTACTTTTGACTCTGCTCTGACTTTCGATAAACCGATCAATGCTGTGGTTAGAAGTTGTTTTTATCAGCTAAAGAATATTGCAAATATGAAGTCATTTTTAACAATAAAAGACATGGAGTCTGTAATACATGCTTTTATCTCATCCAGATTAGATTATTGTAATGTATTGTACTTGGGTTTACAGTCTCTATTGTCTCGTCTTCAGCTTGTTCAAAATGCTGCCGCTCGATTGTTAACTGGAACAAGGAAGAGGGAACATATTTCACCAGTGTTGATCTCTCTCCACTGGCTCCCAGTTAAATATCGTATCCATTTTAAAACATTATTGTTTGTTTATAAAGGTTTCCATGGACTGGCTCCATCATATATCTCTGATCTCCTTCTGTTCAATTGTAATGCCTCCAGGGAACTTCGATCAACTAGTAGTCTTCAGTTGACTGTTCCAAGGTCACACTTGAAATCGAAAGGAGATCGTGCCTTTTCAGTGGCTGCTCCACAGCTATGGAACAAGTTGCCACCCTATATAAGAACTGCACCAACATACGCTGATTTTAAGTCTCTTCTTAAAACTTATTTATTTACTGTTGCGGTCGGTCATAAGTAAGTGCAGTGGCATAACTGTAGTGTACTATCTGTCGCTGTGTTCTATGTTTACTTTTGTATTTTGTTATATGCTTAATTTTGTACAGCACTTTGGCCAACAGCTGTTGTTTTTAAATGTGCTCTATAAATAAATATGACTGACTGACAAAGACACTTTGCCTGGTAGAAATATGCCCTTATACATATTACCATACACCCCCCACATTGAGTACTTCTCATATCCTATTAAAGGTCACTCGGGTCTAAATTTCAGTCAGCTCTTGAAATTCAACTTTAAACATCAGTTTAACCCTCTATAAAATTTGATAGAATTTTGAGCAACTCTGCCAGAGAATCTTTTTGCCCTGATTCAGTCAATATCATGCTCATGCACTCAAGCAGGCATCTCACAGGTCTCACTAGCCTTCCTGCACTGGTTCTCACTGTTCCTTCATTCGGTTGCAAGGCAGTGTCTGCTACAGTCTTGGGGTCTTGGGGTCTTTTTCTGTGAATGTACACTATTGCAACTTGAGCCTTGATTCTTAGATCTTCTGACTGATCTGCTCATTGACCTGGCATCATTTGACATGACAATTGTTTCAGCTCGAACACTCTGGTTGCTCACATATTTTTGGGTCCTTTCCCCATTACTGATGCACAATTGATCTGGTTCCAATTCATGTATACTATTGTCATCATCAGACTGCTCGCTGTCAGAGTTCATTCCTCTTGCTTCATATTCATCACTAGAACTCTGTCTGTTCGCACTCATTTCTGGCAGAAAGATTCTTCTCTCTTGTTTGACTCGCACAGTCTGAATGCTCCAACTCTGTGATGGGTTCTTTGGTCTTCTCCTTTACAGTAAACTCCCCTGTACTCTGAGATGCTTTGGGGCCTACACCCTGTAAAATCCACACAGCAGTTCTACAGTTCCTTGATTCTATTTCTGTACTGAGCAAAGATCTTTGGCTTTGGCCTTCTGTTTGATACTTTTCCTCTCCCGACAGCGCTGATAGGACTGTAGATTCAATGTCC